ATATGATTTTAGTGAGAATATAGAGATCTGTTGTTTTAGTGGAAATAATATAATTATGTTATTTCTACTTAATCTAGGTTATGTCTGACAATGGGATCATATGCTTGTCATCATTCGAGTGATGAATGATTCACACTTGCGTCGTCAGAGATATATTAGTATTCGCTCCACTATTCGAATGACGAACGATTCATGCTTGTGTCATCATTCGAGTGACGAACGATTCACGCTTGTGTCATCAGAGATATATTAGTTTTCACTCTACTATTTGAGTGACGAATGATTCACGCTTGCATCGTCATTCGAGTGACGAACGATTCGTGCTTGCGTCATTAGAGATATATTAGTATTCACTCTACTATTCAAGTAACGAACGATTTACACTTGCGTCATCATTCAAGTGACGAACGATTCGTACTTGCGTCATCAGAGATATATATTACATACACGCTATCTAGACATGCTATCGACTTACTTTGATCTATAAAAATACATCTCATGATCGATATTCAGGAATGTAGTTAAAATAGATCTGCTCGCATTCTAATAAAAAACCCATCCTGATTCCATCCTAGTAAAAAAAATATTAACTGGGACAGATTTAGTATAGGAGAAAGTTTCTTTTTTTTGATTTATCTTGTTCTTTTATATTTATTATATATTCGTCCTAGTTGTCCTAGTAAAAAGTAATAATCTAGGAAAAAAATAAAACTCTTACCTATGATATATACCTATATACGATGTATATACTACTTATAATATATACATATAATATATACTACCTATAATATATACCAACCTATGATATATAGATAAAAAAAAAAGAAAAAAAGATATAAGAAATCTGTAATTTTACTAGGACAATTGAGACAACTGGGACAGGTAGTCTAAAACTCTTTCGTTCAACTTGAAATTACCAGCAGGTATATTTTTTTCGGTCCCAGTTCACGTTCTAGAAAAAAATCTGTTCTAGAAAAAACTTCGATATGCCTCTAATATATATATCTACATATTACACATAGATTACTAAGAGTCTTTTACCTCAGATCCATCTTGCACCATCTTCTCTAGCTTTTTTTGATGCCTATACTGTCTTCTATAATATTTCTGTACATAATCATCACAATAACCATAATCAGAAAAGGTTAACTTATTACACCCATTTTCTTTGCAAGGATAACGAATAGGTGAATCCTGGTAAACTTTGCACCCATTGGGATGGTAACATGGCTGATTACAAACTTCTCCAGACTAAGGATATAGGAACAATGATAAAATGCTATTCTTTTTGATATTTCTCTTGATTGAGTATATAATATGTACTAATTAATATTCTTTAGAATTAATTTTCATTTTAAACTTTTTAATTCCGAACAATATACTTTCAGATTCGAGACCTGGCTCCAGGAAGTTTTCTCATATCTTTTTCTATAATTTCTTTTTTCTGTCATATAGCTCTGTAAT